GCCACAGGAAATAGTCACACACACACACGCACACACACACACACATGCATTGGGAACGCAATTCACACACAGACACACACACACAAACGCTCACACATTTATGTGAAAGGGTTTTACGTACCGTTAGTTGTCTCTGGCATGTTTCATGTCCTGTGCGTGCTGCAGCAAATAAAATATTAAAATTGGTTCAATGAATTTCAATAACAACAACAAACACGAAATCAAAACTAAATTTCGCTTTATTGATAACGAAACACAAGGTAAATGTTGGCAGCCTATGGCCAAGGGGGTGGCCATGGGATGGTTGGTGCTGGGCAGAGGCAGGTGAGGTTGGGGCTCTGTGTCTGTGTGTGTGTGTGTGCTTGTGATGTGGTTATGTACAACGACTACTACAACTCTAACATAGTAGAGTCGAGTCGAGAGTGGAGTAAATGTCCCACAGCACTTGAAATAGTGTTTGTGACACACGGCAGAGGCGTGCAGTGGAGGGGGTCGCTTAGAGTAACAAGCATAAGAAGGGTTTTAGCTATGCGAATATATTATAGATATTCAGATGTATTATTCCGATAAGCAATGTAATTCTAGATTCGGTTATATAAATATTCATCGCAGGTATTCCTTATTTAAGGTACTTCCAAGTTTAAAAACTACAAAATTTGATATAAATATTCATTTTTTGTATAATGCATTATATTTAATTCTTACTTATTTTAACCTTAAGATTTCCAATCCGATTTCAATTTAATATATAATCATATATATCAAACTATTACAGATATATTATATCAATATTATATATTGATTATAAATATTTTCAGTTACTTTAGCATTATTATTATTACTATTATTGCATATATTTATATTTTTATTATTATATATTTATTTAAATATATTTGACATAAAAAACAAAATTTTATAATATTTAAAAATAAATCAATTTTTTAAATTTGAATTTCAATTCAAATTGAATTTGCTTTGCCTTTAACTGTTTCACCCTAGCCCCCTCTTAAACTGGTTCAGCTACGTCTATGCACATAAGCAAACATTCGCATACATACTTATATACTAATGTATGCACATGTATGTTTATGAATACGCACTCACACACTTGTAATCAAATCTCTGTGTGTGTGTGTGTGTGTGTGTGTGCATTTGTGGAATGCCTTCAATCTTAACCCTTCTGCAGTCGTGCGTGTTGAGTTGTGCCCCAGCCGTCCCTTTGGGCCGCTGCCAATCTGTCAAATTTATTTGCATGTTGTGCCATTTCAATGCGTTGTTCACTCTATCATTTTTCGGCAAATCGATAAAGTGCGCCGATTTGACAGCCCTGTCGAGGACTGGCGCTCAGTGCGTTAATGAAACGAATCTCGGTCCGAATCTTATCAATGATTGACCGAAAGACTCTCTATGGCAGCTGATATGATAGCCATCTACAAGATATTATATATACATATACATATATATATATCAATGGATATGTGAACGGTTTTTCTATTTGGCGACAGTGTCCACAACAAACACACGCACCCACACTCACACACATACACACATGCACACAAAATGGCAACATGGACTGACGCAGAAGTTTGCTCCCAATTTTCGTTGCCCAACTGGAAATACCTACAGGGGGAGTACATGACAGGCTGAGGAACGTGCCGAGCATTTGCTGGGGGTTGAACGGACGCACACACGCACACACACACACACACACACACACGCATGCACGCATACCAACGCACATTGGCAGCGACAAATAACAAACAACATACAAACCGAAAGCAGTGCCGCAGCAGGACACAGGACGAAGGACGAGGCAGCCAAAGAGAGGAGTCGGCAGCGGCAGCTCCCATCGGGGGAATGTCGCGTATTTGCATGGCAAGGTGTCCAACCCCGCCCACCTTCTTTTATAGTATTTGAGTTTATTGTGTGCGTGAATATTCAAATGCTGGGTCCCTGTGTGTGAGTGTGTGTGTGTGCGTGTTTGTGTGTGTGTGGGGGTTGCCACAGCAACAGGAAATAGACGCATGCGTATTGCACGCATTGCCGTTGTATTTTTTTTCCTGTCTTCCGGTGTGTGTGGGCAGCCCATTGGGGAGCTCGGCACGTTTGGTCTGCGAAACAAAGCAACGCCAAATAATAAATAATTGCTAGTTGGCATTGAGGTGTAGCAACAACAACAACAAAATGCGATCCCCTAATGTACCCTTAAAACACATTTGACCCACCCTTAGTACATTTCGTTTTTTCTATTTTTCTGCTTTTCCCTTTATTTTTGTGCCATTTTCTTAATTAAAGCTGATTTGGCAAATGTGTGCGGCTTCATGCACGCGTTGATTGAAAAACAAACGACACACGGCGTATACTCGATACTCCCCTCTGGGCCGACTTTAAAATGGAATTCAAATTGAGGCTTATCGATTTGCAGCCGCTTTAAAGCCCTCGCTCAACACCCAATCGTCCAGAGCTCTCGCTTTTCGCTCTGGCTCTGCCGCTGGCTTTGGTTTTGGTTTTGGCTGTGGCTTTCGTATGTGTTGTCATTTCAAATGGCGTGTCTGTCTATCAGTTGATGGGTGGTTGGGTGGCTGGATGGATGGTGGGTGGTGCAGTGCCAGTTGCAACCTGTCTACATAAATACTGTCTGCGATAAGGCTTTTGTTTTTGTCATAAATCTCATTTTATGATGAATTGATATTACAGAGAGGGAGAGAGTGTGAGAGAGTGAGACAGAACTAGCTGCAGCCAGACACAAATTGGATACAGAAAGAGAAGCCTAGAGAGAGAGAGAGAGAGAGGGAGAGGGAGAGGAAGGCTGCTTATATGTGCGTAGCTGCTATATAATTACAAAGTTTCATAGATTTTATTAAAGCAACAGCAGCCAGAGGGAGAGAGAGAGAGAGAGGGAGAGCAAAGCGAGAGAAAGTGAGCTGAGAAGCAAGTAAAAGCTTTTATTAGAGCTATAAAATGATTTGATTACTTTTGTTTTATTACAAATAAATAGTTTATAAATTGGGTAATAGCCATTCTAATATTCTACTAAAACGACAATCGTTCATTGAAGCTATGGAAACAGTTGAAACAATGATAAACTCATAGTAAATAAATTGGTTAGTTACTCTACAAAATCAAAGGTTCATTTACTTATGAATTTCCGACTAGAGTCTTAAGGCCTCTCAGTTGATCCGTTATTTGTAGCTAGCGTGTTCAACGCTTGATCTGCGTGTAGTTCCGTTTATTTCTGCTCATCAGTCTGAGAAGCTGTTGCCAAAGATTAACAGGGCAAGACTTGAAAGCTTAGTCTCGTGGTACATCATAATGTATTTTTGTTTGAAATATTTGAGCACAATGACAAAAACATAAAAAGTACATTAACCAGTCTATGATTTTAAAGTTCTAATATCAGCATCCGGAAATATATGTCAATCCACTGAGAGCAGGCAAATAATATGCATACTTACATAATCAAGTTTGAGGCCAATCATGTTTGAAGCTGTTTTGAAGTTTAGGTATTAAAGTCGCTCACGCTTCACCTACATTGATACGAAAATCTTTGGTTCACTGATTCTGAATCAATTCGTAAATAATTTGGTATGTTAATCAAGTTTATAAATTAAAAATAGTTTGTCACAGATAAATCGGCATAATTTGTATAGCTGAACGAACTGATAACCATATATAATAATGAGCCAGTGCTAGACAGAAGATCTCATAAAAAAATTGCATTAATTTGCTAAACTGTTTATAGATTTGACGACTCATCATTAACTTAATAATCTTAATATCTACAAAATCATAAGTTAATTTTAATAAATATTCATAATTAGATATTGATATATTGATAAATAGATTTAAATAGAAAATAAATTTAAAAAAGTAAAAAATTTCAGATATTTTCTTAAGATATTCCTAGCTGGCTTTCTACGATCAGCTTTGAGTCTCCTTGAGTCTCTGCGTTGTCCTGTTAGCGTATTCATCACGTTTGAGTGATTGCTTTGACTACTGCTTTATCTGCGTCTACTTTTGTTTCTTTCTGCTCGCAGCACTCCAGAAGGGGCGCACAAATCACACACATTGTCCTGCTCATCGAAAGCAGCTACAGTCTGTAGTGGCGGTGCCAGCACCGTCTCCGAGCTCGCTTCCGTTCACGTCAGTGAAAGTTATGCGGAGCAGCGACACAGGATAATGTCTGCCTGTTTGTCTAACTGTCCCTGCCCCAAAGGCGTCTCCCGCCATGTTTGTCTGTCTGCTTCGCAGCTTCCAGCTACAGCTCGCATCTCTAGCTCTAGCTGTTGCTGTTCCTGTTGCTGTTGCTGTGTGCATGCGTTTGCACCTCATTTGCATAAATGCTCTGGCAGCGGCAGCGGCAGCGCCAAACTTTTGCCCACATTGCACAAAAGAAGGCGGCGAAGAAAAACTGCCGGCAGAGAGAAGGCCAGAGCAGCCCAGTCCAGACGAGGCCAGACTGAAGCAGGCTCGACTAGGCCAGGGCAGCCAGTGTGAAGCTGGCAGCGAGTCGAGTGAAAAATGCGCAAACTTGGTAACCAAGTTAGCGCGTTATTTTAACATTTTCCGCTCTTCTGCTGCGCTGCCAAAAGACTCTCTCTTTCTGTTTATGTCTCTCTCTCTCTCTATCCCTCTCATACAGTTCAAGGACTTGGTACAAATCACAGCCACAGCCAGTTGAAAATTATGATCGATGTGGCAGCCGGCACAAACTTATGCAGCGGTTTGTCAGGAAATTTGTTAAGTTTTCCCGATTGCCGCGCGTTGATTTCCCAGCTCATGCCAAGCGCCATGAAGGTAACATAGCAATGGGCACTGTCAACTGCACTGAAATTTGAAATCTGTAAATCTTCAGCATTTAGATATCTATTGTAGAGCCACTTATAATAATATGTACTTATAATCATATATATATTTTCAGATTAAAAGGGAAAGCTTGAAGAGCTATCCAACAGACATGAGCATAACGTTTGCTTGCTCATATTGCAATTTAAGTAAGATTCATGCTTTACCATACTTTATTATTGGTTGATATACTTGAACACAATGTCAACGAAATAAAATATATTAGCCAGTACAACATTTGAAAGTACCACCATTTACAGGAGAATGGAAACAGATGCCGTACTTGCATCTGTACATTGTTGTTAGGATTTGAAAATTATCGATGTTTTCGCCCAGCTTCTCAATTTCTTCGAAGGGAGAGCATAGCTTCTTGAATTGTTCAAGCACTTCCGCTTCTGTCATGTTCGTCTCATAAACTCGCCCATTTTCATTAACTCTATATGTTAATCAGTTAGTCATATTTTTTTGTAGAGCTGTAAATTTCCACTTTCCGCCCTTTCCTTACCTCAAGACTTCGTTGAGATGGACAATTTCAATGAATGGTTGGCAAGAATCCGCTTGCAATGGCATAGCCGAATGGGCAAGTAGAGCCAGGAATAACTATATGTAACAAGTTTAACTTTATTGAGGAAGGAGTGCTGCAAGTCCTTAACTTACCAGGCTTAGCCAACTTGCGGACATCATTTCGCCGATCTCGTCACGTCTCTAGCTAACAGCGAACTAGGATTGGATTGAGCAAGCGAGAGTACTTATAGAGTTCAAACAAGTTTGTCAACTTCTATATTAATCGGCACTAATTTGATGGTGCATTCTAAGCTTTGTTGAAAGTAAATGATAGCAAATAATATGCATGCATACCTAATTTATTTTAATGCCAATCACACGATTCCCTAAGTTTTGGCATTAAAATCGACTGCGCTGCACCTCAATCGATTCGAGAACATGTTGAACCTGCTCAATTATGTGACATCAGAGTTGATAACAAGAGCTCTTATTCTGCATCTGCTGAATTCACGATGATTACGTCTGAGACCGGCATGTGAACAAGTTTTTGCAAATATCTAATTTTAGATTTGACGTCTGAAAATATCTATATATTTAGCTTGAATACAATGCCACTCTCTCCCTCCCCCTATCTCTCTCTATTTGTGTCTGGCATGGCTATTGGCTTTGAGTGAGGCAATGCCTTATAAGCCACCTCATCATCATGCGAATAGGATGCTCGCATTTACACTTCCTCTGCCTGTGCTCTGAGCCCTTCATGCAAATTGCCTAAGGTCAGGAGCAAAAGACTGCAGCTGCTCTGCTCTGGTCTGCTGCTGCTCTGGCAAGTGCATAAAAACTTTCAATATCAGTGGGTCACATGCTCGTCTGCATCACTGATGAGCTAGAGACGAGCCTCCTCCAGAGCCGGCGACTGCGTCTTGCTCTTTCGATATTAACAACAAATTATGGCCCGCTCATAAAATGGCACAATAAACAAAAGCACAAATGCTGCCAGTGCGTGTCTGCATGTGTGTGTGTGCGCGTTTGCTTGGTAAAGAAAAATAAAAGTAACAAATGAGTCAAAAAAAAAAAAAAAGTGAAAAAAGGAAAGTAAAATTTCTGCAATAAAAACTTTTTTGTGATCTACCTCAACGAAGGAGGCGGCAGGCGTCTGGAGAAGATGTGAGCAGAGTCTGCGAATGAAATGGAAAGTGGAGCGTCACGGGATGACACACACACACACACACACACACTCTCTTACTATATAGATGTATGCGTATGTGTGTGTGCGCTGGGGGTTACTGTACGATACGCTGAAGGCATAAAAAATCAGCTCTCGTGTAATAATCATAAATTAGTTTATGAGTCGCAGTCGTCGCGTGCGCGTAACCTTGCCCTTCCACACACGCACACACACACGCACATGTGGACACTCTGATGCAGCAATACACACACACACACATACATATATTTGATATGTTTGTTGACTGTTTTTTTTTTTGCGAATTTTTTATTTGTGCAAACTGTTGAATTTTAACGGCTGCTGCATGCATAAAAATGAAAAGCTCAAAGCAACGCAACAAAGACAACAGAATCGAGAGAGTGAGAGAGAGGGCAATAGAGCCGGCAAAAAATAAACAAATTTGAAATTCTGTAAGCGCGCCCGTGTGAATGTCGAAGTGGAAAATGTATTCGAAAACAAATTTTGAATTACAAATCGACGAAAATGGCGCTGGCGACTGTCTGTGAGATGACGTCATCGCCATCGCAAGGATGCAGCAAGGACAGCAGGCGAGACAGCAGCAGCACCAGCAGCACCAGCAGGAGCAGCAGCAACAAAATTTCGCACGAGTTTTGCATTTGAATTACGAGCAACGAGTTCCTCTAGACGAAGGTCCTGGCATGGCCATGCATGCAAGCCATGTCCTTGTCGCTGTGTGTGCGTATGTGTGTGTGTATGTGTGTGTGAGTGTTGTTTGTGAATCAGCTGATTGCTGTTATGCCTGTGGCCCGCCTAGCATCTGGGCCACTTAAGATCTTAACGCTCTCGCCCAGATTCTCCACATGCGAGCAATGCGCAGACGCTGCCCTAGTCTAAGCAAATTTTAGACAAAATGGCCGCACTGCTGTCAGCGGCAGCGATGCGACATTCACAAAGTTCCTTTGTGCTCTTTTCAATTAGCTAAGGACTTACGTGCACTTCCTTCTCGGGCTTAGGTTTCGCTTAAAGACTTGGCTCTTTAATATTTGGCGCTTCCTCTATATCGACCCACGCAAAAAAGCACACACACACACACAAACACACACATACATACAGCACCCACTTTCATCAGCATCGCTGGCAGAGCCTGTGTCGAGGATTCCTGTTAGCATTCGTTGCAGCGCTCACATCGCAGCGCGCGTCTGGAATACAAATGAGGATCGCTTTCGTTTGGCGTTGTACTTGTTGTTGTTGTTGTTCTTGTTGTTATTGTGGCAAGGGCAGTGGCAGCATCCGGCATTGACAGCCCTGATAGAGAGAGAGAGAGAGAGAGAGAGAGAGAGAGAGAGAGATAGAGAGAGAGAGAGCGTCTCTTTTGTGTATTTGTTTTGCTTGGTTTCGCTCGCGTTTTCTGTGTTTTTCGTCATTTAGTTTGTTGAGCTTTTTCTTTTTCCTTTTTGTGGCCAGCGTTGCGCGGCACGTCTGACGGTGCGTTCATATGGAACTAGTTCTTTTTGCCAGCTTTTGCCGGCTTCAATTTCTTTAGAATGTTGGGCGAATTTAATTCAATGTTAATTTAATTAAATGCTTCTTCAGCCCGCGCAGTAATCATAGACCAACTAGAGTTGAGCGATGATAATCATACTGTATTTATATACATAAATACATATATGTATGTATGCTCTATGAACATATTTGGCTCCAGCTATATATTTGTATTGTCTGCGAGTATTTATTTAAGGAGTTTGCTTTAGTCACACTCATACATACACACACACTTAAAGAGAGAACTTGGTGGTCATGTCCATGGTCAATTGCTGGCCACACACACACACACATGGAGGGAATATTCTGTGAATAGTTTGCCTCTTGATTTGCCTCTGTTTGACAAGCAAAAAATGTTGCTGTTTGTTTTGTGCTTCACAGAAAGACAGAAAGAGATAGATAGAGTAAGAGAGAGAGAGAGAGAGGGAGGGATATCTGCTGAGATAGAGCTTGTCTCTGTTAGTGTCTGCTCAGCAGCTATAGCCATAGCTCGTACTCGCTTCGTTGTTGTTGCGCCTAATGAGCCGAGTGAGCGGAGCGTTGACAGTTGCCTGATAAGCGTAAAACCGTAACGAATGCCAATGCCTAACCAGAACACGGCGTGGCCGGCCAAAAGGATAATTAAACGTGAGCCGCAGTCAGTCGAAGCGTATTAATCATTTAATTTACTCCTTTCACGGCGAAAGCCTCCGGCGCAAGGAAGCTCCAGGCACTTGTCGGCGAGCGCATTAACACCGTCGTCCTGCCGCTTGGGCCGACTGCCAGACAAGCCTTTTCACGTGTCCTCGCAACCCTTTCGTGTCTTTTGAAACTTAATTCGTTCGGGCATGAAATTTCCGCGTGCGTGGCCTCCCACTCGCACTGCCCCCCTCTCTCTCACTCTCTCTCTCACAGAGAATGGAGAAAATGCTGCTCCATTGGCAGTTGGCAGTCTTGTTGTAGCTTCATTAAAATAAATTTAAATAAACTACGCAGCTTATTGTTCTTGCTCTTCGTATCATGAAAATAATGTAAACTGGCAAAGTTTTGCTTAAGCGGCAAAAACTTCAACGAGACGCTTCAAGGTCGCATGAAGGCAGCTCGGCGTGAAGTCGGTCAAATAATTTCAACATTTGTACGAAATGTTTGCATTAGAAGTCAATTTATTAATTAGTATAATTTAAACATTTGCGCATCATTGCCGAGCAGCAATAGCAGTCCGACTCGCACCCTTGCGGCACTGTTTGGTGCACGGACCGGGTTCAACCCCTCGTTACGCCTAAAATGCTGCAATACAAAATCGATGACAAATTGCGGACACGTTACGCGTAGTTGACTCGAAGACGAGTTGAGCCGCGTCTCTCTGTTGGCTACGGCGTGACTGCTAAATACGCTGACAATGCTACCACCGCTTCAGCAGAACAAAGCAACAACAACAGCTACAACAACAGCAAACAATCTGAAATGCCTACCAGCAGCCACCCTGGCACAAAGGCAAAGTCAGGGCAAAACAACAACGAGGATATATCAATGGGCAAATTAAAATAACAACCTAATCATCGTTTTAAGACCGCGAGCAAGGCGACAAGCGCCCGAAAGAGACAGAAACAGAGCGAGCGCGTGACTGCGTGTGTGAGCGAGTGAGAGGGCGAGAGAGTGAAAAGCAGAGGGGTGCACGGTCGACTGTGGGTGGGGTGGGGCGAGCTGCATGGCTGCTAAATGAAACGGCAAGGCCTTTTGTCAACGCTCAGCGGCTCAGCGGCTCAGCGGCTCAGCGGCTCGGCATATATTCTGCCCCCACCCCACACCCATCCCACTCCAGCCCTCGTTCGCTTTGAACATCCCTTTTTTTTGTGTCTGCTTCCTTTTTGGCATTTTTATGTTCCGGCGTTTGTTCCGCCTTCTGTTCCCGTACGCGAGGCTAAACAATTGCCCAAAGTGTTGGAAGTCAAACGCAAGTGCTGTCACCCACCGACCCGCCACTAATGCGTCCGCTCGACTCTCGATGAGATGCAGCAGCGGCAGCAGCACCAGAGACATCGAATTGCTCCCTTGTGACAGGCCAATATAATGCGCCACGGGGCGACGAGCGGACAGACGGAGGGACGGGCGCTCGCTTGGGCGATTGCATAACAGATTGCTGCGCTCATATCAAGTTGCAAGCGTCGAGGCCGGCGACTCCGTCTTGTCTCTGGCCCACTGATACGCTATGATGGATCGCCTTAAATACCTTTAAATTAAAGCGACGCTCGAGCGCAATGAGTTGCCGCAGTTTTGTGAAGCTTTGGGGTTCAGCCTCAGCCGCTGCCTCTGCCTCTGCCTCAACCATCCACCCACCCATTCGCATTCAGCGCTTTTAAATGCGTTTTAATTGAACGCAGCGTGGTGCTGCCGGCTAAGGCGATTTGGCAAGGCCTAAAAATGTGAAGCAAGGCAGAATTTTTTGTTTGGCCAATTTAAAAAAATGCTAGATTAGTATAATACATGAGTAATACATACAAGAAACTCAAATTAAAATTAATTACGTTTTCAAATATA